TTTCTTTCTTTCTTTCTTTCTTTCTTTCTTTCTTTCTTTCTTTCTTTTCTTTCTTTCTTTCTTTCTTTCTTCTTTTTTATGTATATGAGTGTAGTCTTCATGCACCAGAAAGGACATTGGATCATATTAGATGATGGTTGGGAGCTACCATGCATTGCTGGGAACTGAACTCAGGACCTCTAGAAGAGGAATGAGTGCTCTTAGCCTCTGAGCCTTCTCTCCAGCCCCTTTTGATTTTTTTTTCTTTTTGTTTTCATGCTTTCCCTCCTCCCAAGATTTGCATATTACCTTCCCTCTTGCATAATAGTTGTTAGTATTCTTACCAAATACAACCAAAATAACAATTACTATTGAAAAGAAATGGTTCATGCTTTATCACTTTTACAGTTGAGCCAAATACGGACAACACTGATAACGGACAACACTGATAGGGACCCCCTCCTCTGTACCTAGGAAGAAACTGAGTTTAGAGCAATCCTGTAGATTGATTATTGAACAGATGTTAGGACTTGAAACTGAGAGAAGTAAGTGTTTTAGAACTGGGACTCTTCAACTCCCTTTACTTGAAGTTCACACTGATTTTTCCTTTTTCCTGATTTTCCCTTTTTTTTTTTTCATCACTATTGAACCTGAGGCTTCAAACTGCCATACTACCGTCAAGCTATATCTCCAGTCTCCATCTTCTTGATTTTTAATCAAGTGCCTGTGGAACCAGTTAGGACTCTTCAGCTTACCTGAAAGCTGAAGTGGAAGCAAAACTTACTCAGTAAAAACTGAACTTGAGGTTGTGATGTTTTGCTAGGCTAGTGACTTTCAGTGCTGTATGGTAATGATGCTGGGCAGTTGCAGTGAGGGCCCAGTTGATGCTCCATTGTGTATGGGGTTGCTAGGCATTTGCGTTCAGTACAAAGAATGTATTAAATGCATTTTCAACTTTAAATTTTTTCAGTGTATGAAGGTGTTACAGGTGTAACCCTGTTGAAGTCAGGGAGCCTCTGTAAAGTGGTCTTTCTCCCCACCCTGGACTGAACACCAGTCTTAATAGTGTGAACCTCATTCATAGAGGCAAGTGTGAGATTTTCTGAGAACCTCTTCAGGGTCCTAGAACAGCTGAGAAAAGAATTTTTGTTAGATTCTTGGTGATGAAATTGTAGTTCTTCTAGTTGTGTTCTGAGCCTTAAAATTGCAGCGTTTTTATAACTGGGAAGGGAAGAAATAAAGTGATCATTTAGTTCTACTCCCTTTCAAGTCGAGTTTTCTGTAGACTTTTCCCTAACAGTGTCTTTCTCTGTAGTCCTGGCTGTCCTAGAACTCCCTATGTAGACCAGACTGGCCTTGAACTGACAGATACCTGCCTCCAGAGTGCTGATATTAAAGTTGTGCACCACTCTCCCCAGCTTCTGTAGACATCTGTAATACCTTCACCCAGCTTTCTTAGTTAGTAAGAGTATGCTGGTTTTTAAAATACACCATTTCATTAATAGTAGTTCTGATTTATTCTGTCTGTCTCTCTCCTTTCTTTTTCTTTCATTTCGGAGCCTACATTTGCTTCCTAACTTCTGCCCAATTTTTTGTTTCAAGGGCACTGGTCCAAAGCAGAAATACAATGTGAGCTTCAAGTGTGATTTGTGTTTGTAATTAAGGTTTTTGTGTGTGTGTGATTGTAGTGCTGGGGATTTAACAGAGGGCCCCATGCAAGCAAGGCAAGTACTCTACCAACTGAACTATATCCCAGTAAAAGGCGGGGGTGGGGGGGGGAGAATTTATATATATGTCTGGGTGTATGTATTTAAAAAACATTTAAATCATTCATTGCCATTAAGATGCAGATCTGAATCTACACACTGAGAAACATTGATACTTTTCACTACTGGAAATAATGTGGCTTGTGTCTAAGGACATACTGTTGTCATTAAAGAAAAGCCAAGAATTTTGAGTAATTAAGTACTCTTATGGTTACAATTTTTTTTCCTTTTGTTGTTGTTTTCTTTTTCAAGACAAGTTTTTTTTTTTTTTTTTTTTTTTCCTGTGTAGCCCTGGCTGTCCTTCTGTCCTTGGAACTCATTCTGTAGACCAGGCTGGAACTCAGAGATCTGCTTGCCTCTGCAACTCCTCACCCACCTCTTGTGCTGGGATTAAAGGCATGCGCCACCACCCAGCTCCCTTTGATTTTTTTTTTTGGGGTGTGTGTGTGTGTGTGTGTGGTGGTTTCAAGACAGGGTTTCTCTGTGTAGCCTTGACTGTCCTGAACTCCCTTTGTAGACCAGGCTGGTCTCGAGTTGACAGAGATCCGCTTACCTCTGCTACCCTGAGTGCTGGGATTAGTCATATACCACGAAGCCCGGTTTCTCTTTGACTTTTTTTTTAATTACACAAATTCCAATAGATAATATATACACATTATTACAGATAACTGTAGATAAAAATCATCATTCAAAATTGTTAAATTAGTTGCATATTTTGGACTACTCTTAGACAGCTGTTAGCACCAATAAGGAAGCAGAGTTGGCTGTTCTATAAAGTTGGCATGGCTGTTAAAGATAGCATTCCATGGTTTCCCCTCAGCAAGACTATTGATCTAGGGCTTGGCAGAAGTATTTGAGCCACTGTCCCTTTCAGTAGCTGGTTTTTCATTGCTAACAAAGATGCTCCCTGCTCCTGTCACAGTTGATAAGCTGTCCTCTGTGAAGGAGCTGGTCTTCTTCATTTGTTACATGACATGCAAGCAGAAGCCAGATTCTGGTTGTACCTTGTAGGCAAATCTCATGAATGTCAAAGTGTAGCAAGAGAGGATGACAGCCATGCACCCACTGATAATCTCTGGAGACGTAAATTTCATTGATGGCTAAAATGGGTAGACCCTAGTTGGCAACTGGCTCTCCAAAGTGCTTGCTCAGGAGGTAGTCCTGGAAGTCCTTGTGCACCACAGCTGTAGCCATGGAGGTGCAGCTGTTCTTCAGATCAGTGACACTGTACTTTTAAAAAGTAGAACTTGGACTGATGAGATGGCTCAGCAGGTAAAAATGTGTGCCATGCAAGCCTCAGGACTAGAACCCACAAAAAGCTGGATGTATCTTTGTGGGTCTTACATATAATCCTATTAACTCCTATGTGGAGACAGAATTGCTCTGATGCTCCCAGGCCGATTGCTGTGATACATGCAATGTGGCAGAAATAAGAACCAGCTTCAGCAAGGTGGAAAGCAAGAACAGATTTCTCAGAGTCTTCTGGCTTCCACATATATACCCAGGCATGTGTACTCATTCTCACATATATGAACATGAGCTGACATGCACACGCAACAATAAAACTTAAAAAAAAATTATTAAGAAGATCTAAAAATATTCCTTACACACATAATTAATACAGGGTATCTCCTTTGCATTTAGAAGGGCTCTTTTTGGTGCCAGGTCTTAAAGTTTGTGTGCTTGTGTGTCTGTGTATTTGTTTTAGATATAAGGTTTGGAGTAGCCCAGGCTAGTCTTGGGGTGTACAGCTGAAGATGATCTTGAACTTCTGATCCTTCCGTCTCAGAGTTCTGGGGTTATAGGCATGCATCACTATACCCAGTGCTGAAGATTTAACTCAGGGCTTTGTGTGTGTGCTAGGCAAGCACTGTGCCGACAGAGCTACATCCCCAGTCCTGCAATGTGATACCTATTTTTAACGTCAAACAAGCAAACTTTTTTGTACATTGGTCTTTTGCCTGCATGTATACCTGTGTGAAGGTGTTGAATCCCCTGGAACTGGAATTACAGATAGTTGTAAGCTGCCTTGTGGGTGATGGGAATTAAACCTTGGTCCTCTGGAAGAGCAAGCAGTGCTCTTAACCTCTGAGCCATTTCTCCAGTCCCCTATTTCACACTTTATCTGAATTCTAACTAGCACATTTCAGATATAAACTGTAGATCATAGTTACCATCTTCCTGACAGCATAGCTGTAAGACTTTGGAGAATAGTTCTCTTTTTACTGCCCTTACTACTGTCTATCCCATTTCTTGGTACATGAGCACCTTTTTTAAAAAAGTGAATGAATAAATATTATTGTTAGCAAACTGAGTAAGAGATAATTTTGTGGGCACTAAGTTGCTAAGGTCTGTATCAGGTTTGAGTGATCTGAATTTATATTAAAGGTGTGTGTTTGTCTTTTGTAGCATTATGGATCCAAGCCTATTGAGAGACCGAGAGCTGTTCAAAAAACGAGCTCTTTCCACCCCTGTGGTAGAAAAACGTACTGTGCCTTCTGAATCGTCCTCCTCATCTAAGAAGAAGAAGGCAAAAGTTGAACATGGAGGATCGTCAGGCTTTAAACAAAATGCAGGTTCGTAGAACTGTTTTAGGACTGTTTGGTTTCTATTTTTGAAGAAACTAGTTATGGCAAGATCAGTTTCTCTTCTGAGACAAGGACTCTATGTAGCCCTGGCTGGCTTGGAATGTCCCTTGTAGACAAGACTGTTCCACAGAGATGCCTGTTTGTGCCTCTTGAGTGCTGAGAGTAAAGACCTGTGCTATCACACCCAGCAAGCTTTACATATATATAATCTTTAAAAAAAATTTATTTACTTTTTAAAATTTATTACGATTTATTCACTTTGTATCCTAGCTGTAGCCCCCTCCCTCATCCTCTCCCAATCTCACTCTCCCTCCTTCTCCTCCCATGCCCCTCCCCAAGTCCCCTGATAGAAGAGGTTCTCCTCCTCTTCCATCTGGCCCTAGGCTATCAGTTCTCATTAGGACTGGCTGTACTGTCTTCCTCTGTGGCCTGATAAGGCTGCCCCTAACTCAGGGGGATGTGATCAAAGAGCCAACCACTGTTTCCCTTACGAGGGAACCCACTTGGAGACTGAGCTGCCAAGGGCTACATTTGTGCAGGGGTTCTAGGTTATCTTCATGAATGGTACTTGGTTGGAGTATCAGTCTCAGAAAAGGCTTCTGGGCCTAGATTTTTTTTGGTTCTGTTGCTCTCCTTGTGGAGCTCCTGTCCCCTCTAGGTCTTTCATCTCCCCTTTCTTCATAAGATTCTCTACACTAAAATCTGTACACCTAAAAAAGATAAGTAAGAAGGAGGATCCTGGGTAAGATGATCAATCCTCACTCAGAAAGGCAAACGGGATAGACATCAGAAGAGGGAGAAAACAGGGAACAGGACAGGAGTCTACCACAGAGGGCCTCTGAAAGACTCTACCCAGCAGGGTATCGAAGCAGATGCTGAGACTCATAGCCAAACTTTGGGCAGAGTGCAGGGAATGTTATGTTTGTTTTTTGAGATAGGGTTTTTCTGTGTAGCTTTGGCTGTACTGGACTTACTTTATAGGCCAGGATGACCTTGAACTCAGAGATCCTCCAGCCTCTGCATCCACAAGTGAAGGGATTACCCCAGCTAAGTTTAATATTCTTAATGAGTTTTAGATTCTTGGTTAAATATATAATATAAAAGATAGAATTTAAGCCTATAATATGTTTCCAGGACCTACATCACAGCTTGCAGCTACTCCAGTCCCAGGGGATCCAATAGCCTTTACTGGCCTCCATGGGCACTGCATTCCACTGATGCACAGACACACGCAGGCAAAACATCCATAAAATAAAATTAAAGGGAAAAACATATACACCATATATGCGAGGGGGGAAAGTTTATAAAAACAAAAACAAAAAACCTACCCGTTTTGAGGTTTGGTTTATATAATATACTATTTACATTTTAAAGATATAATGCAAATATTTTTTAGTAAATATAGTACAACTATTACTCCCATTTTAGAACATTTCCATAATCCCTCAAAGGTCTGATATGTGGTCATTTGCAGTGACTCTGATCCCAGCCCGGATAACCATTACTCTATTCTGTCTATATATATTTGCCTTTTCCAGACAATTGCTGTAAATAGACTTGTATATGGAGCACTCTTTATATGTGACTTCTTTTAATTAATGTTTTTTATTTTTATCCATGTTATTGGGTGAATCAGTACTTTTAGGTTGGTGAGAATAGTCTTAAATGCAATAATTCTCCTGTCTCTACTGGTGAGTGCTTTTGTTTCTATTGACTGGAGACTTAGGCTAGAATTTCTGGATAATGTGAATTTATGTTTAGCTTTTAAGGAAACTATCAAAATGACTGTTGTGGTTTGGTCTTTTTGTTGCTATGCTAAAACACTGACCAAGAAGCACCTTGTGGAGGAAAGGGTTTGTTTGACTTACAGGTTGTAGCCCATCAGGAGGGAAGCTGCTGAGGCAGAAACTGAAACAGAGACTACTGGGTATGCTGCTGCTTACTGGCCTGCTTCCTCTGCTCATGCCCTGCCAGACTAGTACTTCTTCTTCTTTTTTTTTTAAGATTCACATATATGGGTGTTTTGTCTGCATGTATTTCTGTGTAGCACATGCATGCCTGGTGCCCCATGGAAGACAGAAGAATGCATCAAATTCCCTGGAACTGGAGTTACAGAGTGTTATGGTTATTGGGAATTGAACTCCCATCCTTTGGAAGAGCAGGCTGTATGCTTAACCACTGAGCCATCGCTTTAACCTCAGTCAGGTTTCCTGTACAACCCAGGAACACCTGCCCAAGGGTATCACTGCCCATGGTGAGCTAGCCCTCCCACATCAGTTCTCACTCAAGATGGTGCCCCGCAGATGTGCTGTGCCCAAAGGCCAGTCTTGATGGAGGCAGTTAGCTCTTTGATTGAGGGTCCGTCTTCCCAGATGTGTCAAGTTGACAGTCATAATTGGCCATCACAGAAAGTAAATCATTTTACGTTTTCACTAGTGATGAAGGAAGGTCTAGTTATTTCTCATCCTTACCAATACTTGGTTCTTAGTGGATATGAATAAGTATTGTGGGCTTTTATTTGTTTTTATTTTTTTGAGACAGTCTCTTCTTTTATATTCCAGGCTGATTTGTAGTTCATTATATAGCTCACGCTGATATCAAAGTCATGGCAGTTCTCGTCTCATCCTTGCTAGCTTTGTTGTGTTTTTCTTTCTTTCTTTCTTTCTTTTTTAATTTGTTTTTTATTTTGTGTATGAACATTACATACATGTATGTATATATACTACATCATGTGTGCCTGGTGCTATCAGAGGCCAGAAGAGGGTGTCAAATCCTCTGGGACCGGAGTTGGAGATGATTGTGAGCCATCATGGGCACTGGAACCTAAACTTGTGTCTTCTGCAAGAACAGCAACTATTGCGCTGTCTTTCTGGCCCAAAAGTGCTGTGGGTTGTTTTGTTTTTTTGTTTTTGTTTTTGTTTTTTTACACTGAACCTACATGCTATACTTTGTCTGGGACTAACTGGCCAGTATTGAAAACTGGTGAGCCCTAGGTTCAGTGAGAGACTTGGTCTCAAGGTTGGTTGGTAGTGTTGGGGCAAGATGGGAAAAAGTATTTGCTGGGTTAGCCTGACAGCTTGAGTTCAGTCTGGAGATCATAGTGGAAGGAGAGAACAGAAGAATCCTGAATGTTTGGCTTTTGACCTCCTAAATGTATGCATTTACACACACACACACACACACACACACACACACACACACACGAACAAACACTCATAATAAAATTTAAAAACTTTCTGACAGCTCCCATGATGTATTTTTGTAATATCATGGTTATTGGTTTGCCATTGTATCAGTCTCTGGCCTAAGCTCTTATATAGTAGTAAGTTCAGTAAATGTTTAAATGGCTAAATTACAAGATGACGTGTTGGGGGAAAAGTAGTGTACTTGTTCATTGGGTAAAGCTGATTGCCACACAACTCTGGCCACCTGAATTGGGCCTCCAGAACCCACATAAAGGTGGAAGAATGGACTCTATAGAGTTGTTCTCTGATCTCATATCATGTGTACATACTGACTAGTAATAGCAAGAAAAAAATGTAGATGTTGAAAATCCACCTATGGCAGTGGTTCATCAACCTTCCTTTAGTATAGCTCCTCATGTTGTGGTGACTTCCAACCATAAAAATATTTTTGTTGTTACTTCATAACTGTAATTTCTTACTGTTATGAATCATTATATAAATATGTTTTCCGATGGTATTTGGGAACCCCTGTGAAAGAAAGGATTGTTCAACCCCAAAAGGGTTGTGACCCCCAGCTTGAGAAATACTGACCTGTGTATGGTAAGAACTCTTAAATGTGGTTATAATAGTGTTTGAAATAGTTCCTGGCTACATGGTATTTTATATTCTTAGGTTTTACAAGCCCTTTATATTATTATTATCATTATTTTGAAAAAGGATATTACTGTAGCTCAAGGCTGGCTTAGAACTCACTGTGTTGCCAACGCTGGCTTAAATTCATGGTAGTCTTTCTGCTTCAGTTTCCTGACAGAGTAAAGGTATGAGCCACTATGTCCTGCTTTGTGTTTGTTTATAATGTTAGTTAGAAAAACATGAAAAAGATAATGCTTTGTGGAAGTGATTTTATACTGTCATTTCGTGTTCTTTAAAGTAAAATTAACAGATTTCTGTTCCTATTTTTAAAAACATAATTATTGCACAAAAAGTCATTCTATCAGCATTGGAGATTAAAATAAAGACGTTCTTAGCACTCCATACCATTGTTGTGTAACAGACTTGCTGGGGAGAATAGGGCCTTCCTCATGCCCAAGTCCATTTACCTGTATAGGGAACTGACTGACTACCAAAGTCCTTGGTGAACCAATGAGTTTTATTAGTTATTTATGGGAATATGGATAATAGGTTACTTACAGGAACAGAAAGGACTCAAAGACAACTGCATCGCTAAAGCTGGAAACCTGTAGGTAGCTCAACAGGTTGGAGAGTGTCCTTTCCAGATGGTTCAGCTGGCGTGGGCCTCATCCTGGGAGCTCAACTGGTCTCTGCTTCCTGGGGCTTGTCTGAGTATGAGTCACAGTATTTTATCTACTCTTGGGGAGGGAAAGGCCTAGTTAATCTGGTCCATTTCAGAGACTTCCTGAAGCTGTTTGGGGTTGTTTACTCCTATCTTAAGCTTCTCTGTAGGATTGAATCAACTATTCTACATTTGTTTTTAGTCTTTGTGTGTATAAACCTAAAGTAGCATCTATAATATTAACTAATTAGAGCTGGGGAGAAGGCTTAGTTTATAAAATGTTTGCTGTATAATCATGAGGATTAGAGTTTGGAGTCCCCACACCCATATATGAAGCTGGGTGCAGACAGTGCTCGCTAGTAACCCCAGTGTTGGGGAGACAGACAGGAGGATCCGTTGGGCTTCCTGGCCAGCCATTCTTGCCAATCAGTGAGCTCCAGGTTCGATGAGATCATCTTAAAAAAAAAAAAAAAAAAAAAAGGAAAAAAAAAGGTGGCAAGCAGTAGAGGAAGACATCTGTTGTCAAACTCTGGCCTCTACATGCACATATACACATCTACCAATACATTACACAAAATAAATTTTTAAAATTCAGAATTGATTTGCTTTTTCTTCATTTAAAATACAAAATACTATTTTATTTTATAATAGTGTTAAGTGTTTTAATTTTAATCTATTTTAAGATGACTTGGTATATTTAGTAAAAGGTATAGTTATTTTCTTTTTTTAATATTTGAAATAATCTTTTGTTGTTTGTTTGTTTTTAGCTTTTTGCAGTAGTAGGGATTGAACCCAGGGTGTGTAGGCAAGCCTTTTATCATGGAACAGTGTTCTCAGTCAAAGCTGCTTGCTTGCTTCTATTGTCAAAGGGAATCTGTCTCATTATCTCATGTATTTTTATGCATATTTTCAGAGGGAATCTCATCTCACTTATTTGCATGCATATGAGTGTTTTGCTTGTATGTGTGTATGTATGTGCATCATGTACACTCAGTGTCTGTGGAGGGCAGAAGAAGGTGTTGCATCTCCTGGAATTGGTGTACAGTTGCAAGCCACATGGGAATACTGGGAATTGAACCAGGTCTTCTGAAGAGAGCAACAAGCTATCTCTCCAGCTTCTGTTTCATTTTCTTCTAAAGATGTAATTAAGTATTTTTTAACAATTATTTTATGTGTATAGGTGTTTTACCTTCATGTATGATTGTGTACCATGTGCATGGCTGCTGCCTTGGGAGGCTAGAAAAGGGCATTTAATGCCATTGGAACTGGAGTCACAGACATGAGCTGCCTGTGGATGTTGGGAATTGAACCTGGCCCCTTTGGAAGAGGAACAAGTGTTCTTAGCCACTGAGCCATCTATCCAGCTTCTAATGTAGTTTTTAAAATAGCATATAAAATAATGGTTTTCATTACTACTTTTCTTTTTCATTATTATTGTTTTTAGACATGTATAGAGATTTTTTATTCCGAGAGAATTTCCTGGAATAAATTTGTAGCTGTTATTTATGGCCTAAAGGTTTTCTTTGATTTTCTCACAGGTGACACAAAGCAGTATTAAAATTGTAAAATAACATTATCTGCCATTGAAGTTATGGCCATTGGGATAACAAGAAGTAAAACAGGAGGGAGTGATAGCTCAGTTGTTAGGAGCATTTGCTGTTCTCATAGAGGAGCCAGTCTCACTTCCTGCACACACATGGAAGTTTAGCTCTCCAACTCTAGTTCCAAGGCATCTGATGCTCTCTTCTGGCATATGTGGGCAGCAGGGATACATACATGTAGTGCATATAAATAGGCGAAACATTCATAGGCCTGAAATAAAAATAAGAAAACCTCTGAGCTGGGGATGGTAGCACATACCTTTAATCCCAGCGCTTGTGAAGCAGAGGCAGGCTCATCTCTGTGAATTCTAGGCCAGTCTTGTCTACATAGCAAGTTTTAGAACAGCCAGGGCTACACAGAGAAACCCTGTCTCAAAAAAAAAGAAAGAAAGAAAGAAAGAAAAAACGAAAAACTTAAAACAAAACAAAACGCCTTCTATATTTGGTTTTTCTCTCTATTCCTCCTTCTCTACCTCCCTTGGTCTCCTGCTTGGTTTTGTCTTCCTGCCTCTTCTTCATGATTGTGCCACCACACCTGGTATTAAACCATCACATTATTTTTTTAAAAAGTATGTGCACACTTGTTTCATGCAAAGTACACTTGTGCCATGGAATGTGTATAGAGGCCAGAAGACAACTGTGTTTGTCCTTGACTTTCATCTTGAAACAGGGTCTCTTCTTGTTGCTGTGTTCCTTAGCTACCTGGCCTATAAACCCTAGGAGGTTATCTTGTTCTATTGCTATGACTGCTGGATTACAGCCTTGAGCACTGGCTTTATGTAGGTTCTGGGGATCTGAAGTTAGATCTTCACAGTATGGCAAGTCCTTTAACTACTGAATGATCTACCAACCCCAAACTGCCACAGTTCTTAATAGGTGTTGAATGTCTTTAATACTATTATTAGAGCCAGGTGTGATAGTATAAACCTGTAACCCAAGAATTTGGGGAGTGGAGGCCGGCTTGGGCTTCACCTTAAAATGAACAAAACAAAAAACCTAAATCCCAAACAAAACCCCCAAAACCGTCAGCTCTAACAAAAGCTTTTCACCTTTCTTAGCAGTTTTTTGTGCATTGAGTATCTTTACGTCTTGATAGAGTGAATAAGAAAGGTAAAAATAAAAGAATACTTTCAAGAAAATGTAATTTAACAGTGTGAGGTAGTGTGTTTCAGTTTGGAAATACCCTGGGCCTCTTCTAGACCAAAAGCAAATCAGTTTGTGGGAATCCTATATATACTCGGCAGCCTTTCTGATCATTGTGAGATACATTCATGTTGACCCTAATCTTATGTAAAAGTCAAACCCTAAAAAAATATATATTGTCTTCAATCATTTTTGAAGTACTGGAATTTTAGTAAATAGGGTTTGTGCTATGGTAGCACATGCCTGTAATCCCATCACTTTGAAGGCTTGAAGCGATACGATTGCTGCAAGATTGAGGTTAGCCTGAGCTTACATATCAAGATTGTCTCACCCCCTTCCTCCTACCATAACAAAGGGACCTCTATAGTGGAAAGTTTTGCTCTGGGTTTAGAGGCACATTTTAAGTAGGATTTTGCTACCTAAGTACTACTTTATCTGTGTGACCTTTCACAAGTTACTTATTTTAACAGTTAGCTCTGCTTATTTTTTAGTTTGCCTTGAAACTGGAATACTGCTGTCCAGTATTCCCAGTAGTATTCATGTTGGGAATAGTTCATCTAGTTTTTGATGCTGTATTAAGTAGTCTGCTAAGTTCATGTTCTGAACTGTATGTTTAATGAAGGAGACACAAAAGTGCACATTCACTTGTTTTCTCTTCTACTAGAAATCTTTTAGCTATTCAAAGTCAGAGTCAATTTTGTAGTAATGGTTGGCTTCAGGAAATTGTTTTCCCCAGAAGAGGCAGAAGGCTGTTTTTAAAGCTTTTGTTCATCTTCTTGAGGGTTACACCACCTCGCTGTCACGTTTTCTGATGTTGTCCATCATACTTCTGAGAGGGTTCGGCTCATTTTTCAAGTCCTTCACGGTTTTGTTCTTAGCACAACAACAACAGTCAAGTACTTCGTAAAGGAAAGCCAGCACGACTAAGGACACCACAGTAAATATGAACAAAAGCAGGATGACAAAACAGGCAGTGTTCCAGTTATCATGGAAAGGGTAAATTTTCTGGACCTGAAATCCAAGGTACTGATACACAGAGGTTGTGGTTTCATTCCAGTGGCTGGAAGCCATCCTTGAGGCCACCTGTAGTGCCGTTTGGAATCTACACAAAGGGAGAAAATGAACATATATAGCCAAACTACAGATTTGTGCATTCAGATCTCAGTACTAAATTCCTTAGTAAATTTATATAGTCACCGTGGACTTACTGTCTAACAAAATTAATGACTGAATTACATTTAAAATTTTTTTGTGTGTTTATCCCAGTTAGCAAATTATACTCTAGTTTTTGTGTATTTCACTTACTAGATAATGTTTGTGTTTAGGCTTCTTGCACACACAGAATGGAAAAAAAAAAATTTACTTATGGCATTTACTGCTCATAAGGGGGAAGCAACTGCTAGTTTGAAGCTTGACTAAAGCAGTGGTCAGTGAGCAGTCACCTAAAACCACAGACAGTCTTCTCAGTACCTTTCAAATTTTTCTCACCTTGGTTCAAAGTATTTTTGTTTCCTATTGCCACTTCTGTTAGCTTCTGGAAATTGTAGCCAATACAAAATAAAGTAGATAACTTCAGGGCTGTCAGGATGGCTCAGGAGGTAAAGATGCTTGCTTCTAAACCTAATGACTTGAATTTGATCTCAGAGCTATGTGGTAGATAGAACTGATTTTGCATGTTTCTCTGTGATCTCTGCATTCCATGGAATGTGGGATGCCCCTCTCCCATGAATAAAAATGTGGTTTTGAAAACAGTAGACAGATTTAGCCCTTTAAGAAGTGTCAGATTAATTAATCAAGAAAGCTGGTGAGTTAAATTTCTGTTTTTATACCACAGTACTGCTTCCTTGGTCCTTGTTTTTGTCTTTAAACTATATACTCACAGGGGTCTTAAATTTGGTATGTCGTTAAGGTTGATTTTGAACTTTGGCTATTTTTGGATTTTTTTTTTCCTCCTTAGTGTTTCGATTATAATAGTGCATTATTATCCTTGCTGATTTCAGTACTGTGCTTTTGTTGACCTGATACTTGTTATTCCTTAAATGAGAATGTGAAGATTGAAGATTTGCTATTATAGAAATGAGACTAATTTTTATTTGAGATGTGCCTTCCTCTGCTTCTCAATGCTGGGATTAGAGATATATTCTACCACTATCTTGATTACCCCACCCCCCACCCCCCCGCCCCGAGAAACCTCTCTCGAGATAACCCTGGCTATCCTGGAACTTGTTCTGTACACCAGGCTCTCTGCATTGCCTGGCTCATTATCTTGATTTAAAAAATATATTTTAAAGAGTTTTTCTTTTTCTTTTTTTTTTTTTTTTTTTTTGGTTTTTCAAGAAAAGGTTTCTCTCTGTAGCGTTGGCTGTCCTAGACTTGCTTTGTAGACCAGCCTGGCCTCAAACTCAGAGAGATCTGCCTGCCTCTGCCTCCCTGAGGCTGAGATTACAGGCGTGCGCCACCATGCCGACTTTTTATGTGTATATTTTATGTAAAAAAAAATGTCAGCATAGTACATAAAGAGTATAACCGTGGCGTCCCAGCACCTGGGAGACAGATGTCGGAGGAACGTGAGTTTGAGACCAGCCTAGGTTACAGTGGGAGTTCCAGATGGATCTTAGCTCTAATGAGACCTTTGTCTCCAAAAAAGCAAAGAACATGTAATGAACTCTTATGTGCTCATAGTTAAATTTTTATTTATAAGCTGTTGACATGTCCATGTTTATTCATTTGCTTCTATCACATTTCATTGGAAAGCAGTTCCTAGAAATTATTCAATGTCTTCTGAGAGATGGCTTTTAAATACAAGCATGGTGTTTCCACACCCAAACTGTGAAGTTATTTTGGTTAAATTTCTTTGTCTTCCTAGAAAACAGAATTTTATAACTTTTTACAAAAGTTGTGTTTTTTAAGGTTTTAGTTTCTATTCTAAATCAAGTTTGTTTTATGACAAGTTTGTTTTAGCCAACTCTCTGGCTAGCCTTTTGCATACTTCCTATATTTTGAAGGTTAGATTTATTAGCTGAAGCCAGAAATAAAGACTTAACTACATGTTTTGTTGGATTTAAGACTTCTCTTACATGGTGCTTGGTCACTCTTCATTCTTCAGTGAGAACCAACAGACTTAATGGGTAGCATGTAACTGAGTTACTTCTGTTAGTTGAGGAACACATAAAATGACATTGTCAGTAGGCAAGCTGTGTCACTTTATATTACATTTCATTATTTTCAAGCTATGTCTCTAGACCAAGATTTCAAAGTTACCTTAATTTTGGGATTTGCTCTTTAGAGTACATTCTTTTTTCTTTTTTTTAAATTAAAAATAATTTTTTTCATACAATATATTTTAATTACAGTTTCCTCACCCCATACATCTCCCAGTTCTTCCCCATCAGCCTTCTACCTGGATCTACCCCCTTTCTGTCTCTCCTTAGAAAACAAATGGCCATCTAAGGATCGATAATAAAATAAAATGAAAACAAATCAATAGTACAAAAAAGCCAAAGAAGAAAAAGAGCCAAAGGATAAGCACAAGAAACATCTCTGTGCACACAGGGATCTCATAAAAGCATAAAACTGAAAGCCATAATATTTATGCACAAAAACTTGTAACATTAAGAAAAAAGGGGGGGCGGGCTGGAGAGAAGTTAAGTGTACTGCCTGCTTTTCCAAAGGTCCTGAGTTCAATTCCCAGCAACCACATGGTGGCTCACAACAATCTGAAGTGAGATCTGGTGCCCTCTTCTGACACGCAGGCATACATGCACTACAGAATACTGTATAAATAATAAATAAATAAATATTTTTAAAAAAGCCCTAACTTAACATTATGAGCCAAAGAACCTCCAAGGATTCCACTGAGTTCATTTTATGTTGGCCATCTACTGCTGGGCCAACCCTTAAGAGTGGTTTGTTTCCCTAGTGTGACTCCCTTAGAGAAAACTAAGTTTTCATTTGCAAGTGGCAGTCAGTTGGAGATAGCTCCGGGGTTAGGGATGGGAATGTGTGTCCAATTCTCCTTTCAGTTCTAGGACCTCATCTGATGCAGACCCTGCGGGCACATTCTTATAGAAAAAGAAAACCAGCTGCCATTTATACAGGGTTAAGTGGTGCCTTTTATGTTGTATGACATGGATGCCCCAATATGCTGTATCCAACATCTTTGTTGTCTTTGTCTGAGTCTAAACACAATGTACCCAATTGTTCATGTATTCAGAAACTTTGTTAGATAGAGACAAATTTTAGGTGTTTGTGTGGGTGTGGTATGCGTGTGTTCTTGGCTAGGTCCATTTTGACTTGGCTTTTTTAATAAAGGCATATAAGGTATGTACATGCTTCCCATGTGATTTTAAAATATTTGTCCTATGAAGCACCTTTAAGATTTATGACACTAGTATTATGTGAATATTCCTGCAAGTAGGCCACATTGTTACAGTTGCTTTTACATTAACATAAATGAATTTTCATATTTCATTTTGAAGAGCAGAGGTAATAGTGATGGATCAGACTTCAGGAGACTCTCAAACACAGGGCCTCTTGTGTGCTAGGGGAGCACTCTGCCACTGCCCTGCATCCCCACCCTAGACAGTGTACTTTATTTACACATGAAAATTCATATAATGATTTTGCTTGCAATGACTGTGGAATAGCAGTATGTTTATGAAAGGCATTTAGGTGTTTTGCTGAAAGTGTCTAAGCAGTTTAGGAAGGAGTATATATGAGTGGTGGTTTGAATAAGAATGGTTCCCATTAGGCTCATTTATTTAACTATTTAGTCCCCAAGGAGTGTCACTATTTGAAAGGATTAGGAATTGTGTCCTTGATGGAGGAAGTGTGTCACTGGCTTTGAGGTTTCAGAAGCTCATGCCAGGCCCAGGCTGTCTTCCTGTAGATCAAGATGTGGCTCTCAAATAGTGCTCCAGTGCATGCCTGCATACCACCATGCTCCCCACCATGGTGATGAGGGACTAACCCTCTGAAAACTGTAAGCAAGTCCTCAACTAAATGCTTTCTCTTCTAAGAGTTGCCGTGGTCACGGTGTAGGACAGTGACTAAGATGGTATGTTCAGGTTCCTGTTGTATGTTATGTCAGTTTGCCGTCTTCAACAGTGTTGAAGCTGATGAGGCAATCAAAACATTGTTGCTTTAGTTAGCTTCTGAAGCAAGTAAAACTTGGATGGTAGGGATCACTGTTCACCTTAACTGAATGTGTATTCCTCTGAGCATAGAAAAGCTCCTACAGGAGTCTGTGTGTGTTACATTTTAAGGTAAAGAGTAAGTTTTATGGCAATACAAATGCTGTAATTAAGCACCTGAAAGAAGTACGTCATCAGGATTTCCTTTTATAGACTGTATCATTCAAATTAAAATTTGTATCATGGAAATTCTGTAAGCATGTTACAAAAACTGAGAGTATGTTTAAAAATAGAAGCCCCTTCTCTAATTTTATTGTAGGAATGTGAAACCTTAAAGCAAATCATATAATTTTTAGTTAGGTTTTGTTTTATGTTATTTTTGCCATATTCCCTTTGCCTTTTTTTCTATCCTTCTCAAAAGGCCCCAGTGGAATATTTATGGGGATAGGTTTTGTGGTTTGGGGACCCTGAATTACCAGATTAGAAATTACAATTTAGCTCTAGTTATGGTAAAAACTTGTGAATTGATTTTTCTGGCACTTTTAAGCACATCACTTTGAAATATGATCAGTTAATCACAATAGCCTTTAAATATAGAGCAACTTACTCTATTCAAGCCCTGAGACTAAGATAATGGGTACTTGAAAGATGATTTGGTGAACAATAAATGGACCTCCATTTATGCTAATTATAGATACACTATATGAAAATGTAGGCTGTTATGAATGTTAAAACAATTTGGAATGTTAAAGTGTAAATTAACTGTTGCTTGACAGTTATTTTTATGTTACTTTGCTCCCACATTGTATAGTAAGCAGAATGGTTTCTAGGTAATTTGACCCTGCTGTGCTGAACCTGAGAGATCTTGTTACAGCAACCTTAAGAGTTTTTCAAGAGATACTCTGTGTAACTTGAATCCTAACTAAGGAACAGAAGAAATAGGAATTATGAAAAGCGTAAGAAAAAACCCAATGTTAGGAGTGAATATACTTAGCATCCAGGTAAAGGGAAAAGTTGGATAGTTAGATTGTTAAGTACAGTGCATCATGGAGAGCTAGCCTCTACTAAATAGGTTTTCATCTTCAGGTAATGTTTGCAGAAATTTGGTCGATGACTCTGAGGCTGGGAGAATAATTTTACTATCTAGAATCATTGTTCTAACTTAGCTGGCTCTTCTTAGGACACATTTAACTTTAAGAGGTACTTTATAAAAAAGACTGAATTTGTATGTATTAGTACCAGCTTAAGAATAACCTAATTGGGGAGGGGAAAAGAAGAATAACCTAATTACATTAAATTTTTGTGTGGCTTGTAATGAAAGGATATTTTTAAAGATTTTTTTTTTTTAATAACATGGCTTGCATTTTATGGTAAGATAGATTATACTGTGAGGAATTATTTTAATTAAGATGTTAGGAAAATCTGAGCTCCATAAATGATCTCTCTTTCCTTACAGTATAATACAACTCACATAATGATACACGTTAAAGAGTTTTCCATAAAAATTACAACTGGCGTTTTCTTGGTATTTTCCACATTAGTATTCAAAGTCAAATATACATAATTTGAATTATCTTCTCATTTGTTAAAATATAAGCTTTCTTGTAACTGCTTTTTACCAGCCAGTATAATTTGCACAGATAATTTGAAAGCTTTAGCCAAAGCTTTTCTATGATTCTAGATTTTATTTCTTTGAGAAACATCCTTTGTTAAGACAGACCAGACTGCTGAAATGGATTTGCTTTGAGAAAATGAAATTAGCAAAGACCCAGGTTAACATCAAATGCTTTTGTCTTTCTTAAGGTCTGAATAGAGATCAGATTAGTAGAAAATGTAGTGAATTTTCCATTAGGGCACAGATGGTAAGGATCCTTATCAAATAGCACAAGGCAGTCGTCATTTTCATGATAAAATCTTACCAAATGGCTTAATACATTGCTTTTACGTCATTAGTAGGCATAATGCTTTCTGGCTTTCATGGTAAAATATTTTCTTACTGCTTCATAAGGATATGGACTACTGAATAAAAAGCATCAAATAAACCTACCTCTTGTCTGGAAAGATGCTGTTGAAGCGATGGTATCGTCTGTTTGTAATGCAGTCTAGTGCACAGCCAAGATGGAGCTGTGTTTCTATTGGTCGGATGCATAATGCAGCTGACAGTTTCCTCTATGCTCATTTGCATTAAGTCCTGCCATCCCGAGGAGCAGATCATTCATAAACTTGAACAGAGCTGTCTGGGTTATCAGCTGCCACTCCCTTCCTTTAATTTTTTTTTTGGGGGGGGGGGTCTTTAAGCTAATTTTTTACATGGGAACAGATTGATTTTTTAGTTTTTTTTTCTTCTTGTATAAAATTTCACATCCTTCTGTAAACAGTGCAGTACTAACTGTAGAATAATCTTCAGAGGCAGTTACCTAGGAAACAGCAGCCCAGGTTAACCACTTTGGTAAGATATTAACAGAAAATGTGCATAAAATCTAATAAATAAGCTCAAAATGAAAAGGTTTCAAAAATATGTTCTCAAGTCTGACTTCTGGACACTTGTAGTTAGGAGAAATTTTGAGGAAAAAAATAATATTTTAGTTCTTTAAATTATAGTAGAGTTAATTTAGATGGGTGATTTCTTTTTGTAAATTTTAAGATATAGACAGCTTTATGTTTTTAGTTGGGTCTAGTCCACCTGGCTGTTTATTGTTATTTTTATCATAGCAGAATCAAAATTTATTTTTATTTAAAAGAATAGTTCTTAAAATGGGGAGAGTTGTGCATGGTGGTGCACATTTGTAATCCAGTACTTGAAAGGCAGAAACTGGTCCATCTGCATGGTGAGTTCCAGACTGTACGTTGAGATCCTTGTCTCAAAACAAACGAAGAACAACAAAAAAAAATTCCATTAAAACAACAAACAAACAAAAAACAACGGGAGAGTGAGTAAATTCTTGCTACATAGACTTAAAATATATACAGATAAATCATTACATTAATTTCTAGCTGTATAGGAGCACATGAAAATACCCTTATATTGCAGTGATCATTCAGTAGGTATTTGAGTATAGGCTTTGGTTGGCCTTGACTTAGTACTGGGGACATTGTGGTAAACAAACTGTGTGGTTCATAATTGATCATTTCTTTGGAGTTTGTTCTTAGTATACTGTGATTTCTTTCTTTTTTTTTTTTTTTTTTTTAGTTTTATCAGCTTTTTAATTCAGTATTGTAAGATAAGCTTAATAATACTAATTGAAATGCTGGTCTCAATGGCACAGGCCTATGGTCCCAGCTACTCAGGAGTTTGAGTCAGGCTCAAAAGTTTAAGGCCAGTCTAAGTAACTTTAAAAAATATTTATTCATTACCTTTATTTTATGCATATGAATGTTTTGTCTGCATGCATGTCTGTGTACTACATGTGCACCTGGTGCCGAGTGAGTCAGAGCCCCTGGAACTTGAGTTACAGATGGTTGTGAGCAGCCCTGTGGGTGTTGGGAACTGAACCCAGGTCCTCTTCAGGAACAGCCAATGCTCTAACCACTGTACCATCTCCCCAGCACCAATGTGAGTAACTTAATGAGGCTTTCTCAGATAAAAAGTAAAAATGGGGTTGGGATTAAGCTCAGTGTTAGAACAGAAAACAACAACAAACGACCAGTGTGGTGGCACATGCCTTTAATCCCAGCACTTGAGAGGCTGAGGCAGGCAGATCTCTGTGAGTTCAAGGACATCCGGGACTACAAAATGAGTTCCAGGACAGCCAGGGCTACACACAGAAAAACCCTGTCTCAGAAAACAAAACCCAAAAAAGCTTAGTGTTAGAACACTTGCAAAGCATTTTTGTGTTCCTCGGGTTAATGTGTATTTGTGGGTGTCTATGTTCTGACAAAATGGCCCATGTCAGATGGAATATAATGTGTAAAGGGTAGTTGGTAGAGCTTATAGAGCAATTTCCAGGGCTTACAGCTTGATTTAAATATGCCTTGTTACAACCCTCACAGTTTTTATTTTTAAAAGAGGACAGTTAGAGCTGGGGAGATGGCTTAGCCGGTAAAGTGCTTATTATGCGATCAAGAACATCTGAGTTCAGATTCCGAGCACCCAGTGGCATCCCAGTGCTGGGGAGGTGGATATAGGAAGATTTCTGGGGCTTGTTGGCCCGTTGGTGAGCTTCAGGGTCAGTGAGAAACTCAGTTTGAAAAAATACCATGGAGGGGCAGGAGAGCTGGCTTAGGGGTTAAGAACACTGGCTGTTCTTCCAGAGGACCTCGGTTTGATTCCTAGTACTCATGTGGAAGCTCACAAGTGTATAAAACCAGTTTCAGGGCATCTGAAACCCAATTTTGACCTCTGCAGGCACCTGGGCATTCATGGGGCACGTGTAGGCAAAACACCAGTACACACGAGATAAAATTTAAAAATAAAAAATGATGGAGAAGGAATTGAGGAAGATACCAACCTCTGGCCTACGTGTGCTCATGTCACTGCCTCCCTCTACCATGTGCACTAAATAAATACAAGAGGACAATAAAGCTTCTTAAATAGGTTTTTTTTTCTTGATGATTAAATGTGAGAATCATTTGGTGTGGTGCTTGGCAGATAATAGGTTCAATAAATATTATTGAACTATTATTATTTTTTCTTTATTAATTACACTTTATTCACTTTGTATCCCCCCTGTGGCTCTCTCCCTCCTCCCGTCCCAATTCCTCCTTTCCTCTACCCTCTGCATGCATGCCCCTCCCCAAGTCCACTGATAGGGGAGGACTTCTTTTCCTTCCTTCTGATCCTAGTCAATTAGGTCTCATCAGGAGTGGCTGTGTTGTCTTCTTTTGTGGCCTGGTAATGCTGCTTCCCCCTCAGGGGGAGGTAATTAAAGAGCAGGCCAATCAGCATTATTAAAAGAGTTTTAACCATCTTGGGAAAAATAACCATATAGTTAGTATTTCATAACTGAAACAAGTGTATTATTATTGACAGGATCTTCTGTAGCCCAGGCTAGCCTTGGACTTGCTGTGTAGCAGAGCATGACCTTAAACATTTAAAAAAAGATAGATAGATAGATAGATAGATAGATAGATAGATAGATAGATAGA